AATGAAGCAAATTTACAACACACAGTAGGCATTTTATAAACATTTAGGGTGAAAAAATTAAAACCAAAAATCATGCTCTGTCCCACTTCTAGTTAAAGTCTCAAAGGAGAAATAAGAGCTATTTTTGGCTTCTGACCCAACTGGCAGGGTAGTGACCAAGTGCCCAATTTCTCCTCTTTCCCAAGACTTTGTGAGACAGCAAGCATCTCCCTGCAGAATCCCGCCTCCAAGCAAGCATGCTGAGCTGGCTGTAGACCACCAAGCCTGCCAATAATGGCTTTGAGTGGCGTTGAGTTGTGACCTTATGACTTTCAGGCGACTAGAGACAGGAAGGGAAACTGACCAGGCATGGGTGCCAGGGAAAAATGGGTCAGGAGTGTGACCTGCCAGGTGCTTGCTTGCCACAGAGGATGCTCTGGGCCAGTTGCTCCACTGAATTTATGGACTGTGAATTTCTCAGTCCGGTGGAGGAAGTAGGCGGGTAGGGGCAGTCAGACTGACTCCGCCTAGGAGGCAGGTCAGGGGTTGGGCCTTTCCCCTAGATGTGCTAAGTGAGGCAGTATTGAATACAGGGAGAATTTCTCTGGTTTTCTCTACTTCTTGAGAATCTGACCCTGACATCTTGAGACACTAAATTGCTGCTTTTCCCCCTGCTTTTTCTCTCTTCTGCCCCTAGGTTCTGAGCTCAACAGCCGCGGTCTCAGACCACACACATCACAACCTTACCCGTCTTCAGAGCACAGTCCTTTCCAACCGACGACATGATAGAACCCTCTGAAGACTCATTTGAGACGATGATGGAGCTTAAGAATCCATCATCAAAACAAATGGAGTCCTCCGAGGGCTCATCCAACACCGTTGAGGAGACACCAGGCAACATCGGGGCACAGGCGGCGGCAGAGGCGGGCTCAGCCAGCGGCCCAGCCCAGGAGCCACCCAGTGGCTCGATGAAGGAAGTGGAAGAGCTGCCCACTGATCTACTCCAAGACATGGAGAAGTCATCCAGTGGTCCATGTGTGAAAACAGAGGATCCACCGAACGACCTACTCCAAGACTTGGAGGAGTCACCCAGTGCCCCGTGCGACGAGACAGAGGATGCGCCAAACGTTCCGTTCGAAGACCTGGAGGAGTCCTGCGATATTTCACATGAGGAAAATGAGGATGATCCAATCAGTGATATATCTGATGGCCTGTATGCGGTGTCAGCCAATTCCTCTGAGACCCTGACAGACGGAGACGACGACACTAACCTGGATGATGGGGAATTCGGAGAGGAGAGTCAGGCCGGGAACTCTCCAGAAGAAGTCGTGTCCAGGATGGGGTCCATCATCTCGCTGTTCCTCCGAATGCAAGACGTCAGACAACAACAGATAGTGGCAGAGGAGATCTTGACGGATGCTATCGATGAAGGCCGGCTTCCGTCCATCAGGCCCTTCTCCGGAGATCGCAGAGATTACCATGAGTTCATTGTGCTCTGCCAGATGACCATGCAGAACTACCCAGCAATGTTCTCCAGTGATCACATACGAGTGAAGTTTTTCATCCACCACATGTCTGGCTTCGCCTCAGAATGGGCCAACGACCTGATAGAGCAGAACAGCCCCCTGCTGAACGACTTCTCAGGCTTCCTCGGGGCCTTGTCAGAAAAGTTCGAGTACCGGCAGACACTGCGTGTGGCAGAAGACGCCATGTTCAGTATCAGGCAGGGGAACCGTAGCGTCGCTGATTACATCAATGAGTTCCAGAGTCTCGTACCCACCTTGGACTGGCCAGATGAAGTCCTGCAGGCCCACCTGTGCCAAGGGCTCAATGAAGACATCAGGCACTATCTGTTCCGGATCCCTCAGCCGCAGTCCCTGCACAACCTCATGGTGCTGGTCCTGCAGATCGAAGATAAACTGGCTGAGAGAAGAGCAGTGCTCAGGCTGCCCCCTGAGTCCCGCCCAAGGAACATGACCTGGATCGACTCACCTGCCCCAGAGAAGTGGAGGGTGAGCAGCTGGCTGCCATATGCATTCCATCCAGACATTGATCGTGCCCACCTGTTCCTGTTGCTCATGGTGAGGGTTAGCCCCTACCACAGCGTCGCAGTGCAGGCCCTGTTGGACTCAGGAGCAGAGGGGAACTACATGGATGAGAAGTTTGCCCAAGAACACTACGTGGAGCTCTATGAGAGGCCCTATCCACAGGCAATCCAAGCGGCAGACGGCTCCCTGATCGGAAACGAACCCACGTGGCTCTACACGGAACCCCTGATGTGTGTCCAGCAGAACCATTACGAATACATCGAATTTGACATCGTACCTTCGCCTCTCTTCTCTGTGGTCTTAGGCATCAAGTGGCTCCGAACCCACGCACCTGACGTCGACTGGATCAAAGGCCGCTGCACCTTCCACTCTCCCTACTGCCTGAAGAACTGCTTCACTCCACCCCCACCATGCATCGCACTGGAACAGTACAGCATGAGCCTGCTCCCTGGATTGCCACACCCGTACTCAGACCTGGCCGACGTGTTTAACCCGAAGGAGGCAGATGATGAGACTTCCGACCAGCCAAGCTCAGACGGATCCGATGATCTTTCTGAATCAGAGCCCTCTGAGCTTCAGCAGGCTGGAGACAGTGATCGTAACGATGTCTTTTACGAGTGTCGTTCCAGGGTGCCTTGGGTGTCTGTGAGTGCCAGGATGCATGAAAAAGCCAGGCAGCAAGAGGAGTACTGGATACTGTATGACATGCTGACTGACAAACAAGACTACATACAGATGATACCAGAACTGTTTGACCAGTTACATGGAGCTGCATGGTTCACAAAGCTGGAGCTGCGTAGGGACATTAAGGAAGCTGACATCAACTACAGCGTCACACGCACAGAAGACACATGGAGAGCAACGTTTGGTTTGAACCTTCACCAGATGAGATGCTACCGGCCCTTTACAATGTGCTCATTCGCTGATGAATCAGACAATGAGATTCACTACATCCTAAAAGACATCCTAGGCTTCTATGTGATTGCCCGTGGCCAAGAGGTCCTGGTCTACTCAATGAGCCAGGAGGAACACTTTGAGCACGTCCGCCAAGTCCTGCTCCGCTTCCGCAACAACAACGTCTACTGCTCACTGGACAGAAGCCAGTTCCATCGCCAGACCGCAGAAATCATGGGCTTTGTCCTATCCCCCAAAGGGGTGAAACTCAACAAGACTCTCATGAATCTCATCATGGGGTGCCCTGTCCCAGGCAACAGGAGGTGTCTGCAAACCATCATCGAACTCGTCTACCCCTACCGCCACTTCGTGGAGCACTTCGCCATCATCGCAGCCCCCCTGCTGAGGCAGCTGCTGAGTTCAGAGCCCTACTACTGGGGAGAAGAGGAACAGGAGGCCTTCGAGTGCCTCAAGAGAGCTTTCCGCAAGGCACCCATTCTCTACCACCCCAAGCCTCAGAACCCATTCTACTTGGAAACGGGAGTCTCCGGCCCATTCCTGTATGCCTCCCTGGTGCAAACCGACGAAGAAACGGGCAAAAAAGCTACCTGCGCTTTCTACTCACGACGCCTCTCCCCATTGGAGGTGGAGTACCCTCAAGTGGAGTTGAGGATCCTTCCAATCCGGGCTTCCTTCATGGTGTGGTGCCGCTACCTGGAGAACACCGAGGAGCCCATCATGATCCTTCTCAACACAGAGGATCTAGCCTCTCTGAATAATGACAGGCTCACCGTACTTCTCCCCGGGCATTGGGTCTTCTTCTTCTCGCACTTCCGTTTCGATGTCATGGAGCTGCCTGATGAAGATGACCCACGAGCTCTGTTCCAAAGGAGAAGTCAGAACCAGAGAGGCCTCCGAGGGAGGTTCATGCGGCCACTGCTGCTTCTCGCCATGAGAGCAGCCCAAAGGAACATCTCCTCTGACTTCGAGTCCGTGTCTGCGTCTGTGTCTGCGTCGGGGTCCGAGTCTGGGTCAGAGTCTGAGTGCGAGTCCGACTCTGGGTCCGTGTCTGGGTCCGGGTACGAGTCCGAGTTCGAGTCCGATGACAGTGAAGACATCTCATACGAAGAATCTGAAGATTACAACCAGCAGAACGGGGTACAGGAGCTACTGGCTACCATCCCGATAGAGCAGATCCTCAATGGCTTCCTGGCCCATTTCAGTGTGACTCAGATCCGGGCTATTGTCCTGAACTTCTTCCACAGCCTGCTCTACTGGAAGAGTACCCTGGGTGTGGCAGCGCTCCTGGTGATCATGAGGGTGAAGCGGTACCTCTCTCCATTGTCTTTCCGATCTTGGGAGGTGGACAGGCCTCAGCCACGGCACACAATCCGACTCGTCCTGGACTCGTCTCTCATTGCAGGTAGTGGCATGGCCACAGTCATTGCTCAGTTGTTCAGACAGATGCCCCCTCTTATGAGAGTCAACACCCGCCCAGCTCGAGAGCTGGCTGAGCTGCTCCTGAGTCCCAGGTGCTGGCATCGCAATGCGCTGCATTCCCGGCCCCCACGGGGCATGCGACTCACACCTGGGTTCTGGTTGACCCTGTGTGAGTTCTTCGGGGTCAGAGTCAACCCTGAGGACGATGCCATCTTCCCTGCCCCACACCAGCACCGGTACTTGGAGCTGCACGTCGTTGGTGATGAAGATGTCGTCTTGCGAGAAGCCCTGCAAGACGACCTGCAACGTTACCGTCATTGGGGCCTGCATGACGGCCTGCAAGACACCTCGCAGGACGCGCAGGACAACGACGTGCGACAACACCTGCTTGGCGACACACAAGTGCTCACCTTCCGCCCACAAAATCTACTGGACCCAGTGGTCCTAGATTTCCTCAACAACCGCCTACTCTACATTCTTGGTGCCGATGGACAGCTTACTCTGCTCAGCAGAGATGAGGTGGCCCAGGCCCTGGCACGATTCCTGGCCATGGCCTCCAGAATGGTCCCGCCTCGCCCAGCCAGGCAACGGGCAAGGCTGCAACAGCTATCGGACTCATCAGATGATGAGCTTGACTGAAAACACAACCAAGTGTCTGACATGCTTTCCTTGTGCCTCAGCCTGCTTCGCTCAAGCCTAACATTCCCTTTGCCACTCCTGACCCAAGGGGAATCCACTTGTGAAGGGCCACAACTTCACTCATCAACCAGCAAACATCATCTGTGCTAAAGGACTAGCCAACTGTCAGCGTCCCAGAGCCAGCCAAGACTGTGCAACCCTGTCCTAAATGACCATGACCGGGCCCCAGGCCCACAGCCGGGTGTGAGATCACGAGAGGAGAAAGCAGTGATGAGCAACAATGACCCTGTCACCCCAGGCCAGATGCAGAACAGACAGAGCAGATGCAGCCAAGCAAGCAGATGCCAGGGACCCTCCCACCACCCGAGTGGCGTGCGGCCACCTGTGCATCCTGGGACACTGACCTCGGGTGCTCCTCTGACTTCTACCTCCACACCGGTGCTCCAACTCCCCTGGGCTCCCCCCTCCCCGCTCCCTGCCTCCCGAGGTGCTGTAGTGCCATGCTTCCCCATGCTTCCCCCATCCCAGCACATCCCCGCAGGCAAGCCCACCCCGCTCTACCCATCTGGTCTGGTTCCCTTGACACTTCATCTCACCCTGAACTCTGAACTCTGGACTCTGCTTACCTGGGCAGAGCTGCTCCGCGGGGCCTCTGACGTGCCAGTGTGACTTACCTGAGAGACGTGGCCACCTTGAAGGTCCCTGAGACTCGGGGGACACCAGAAAAGGCGGCGGCACCAAGTGGGGCTCCCTTTCCCAAGACTGACACATGGACAGCACAGGGGCCAGAGACCCCCACGTAAAGGCGGGAGCCCCAAGGACACTGGTGAGGCCCCGGACACCCAGCCCACTGTGCCAAGGAGCCGAGTGCTCTGACCAGACTGCTGTTCTTTGTCCCAGGAAGGAGAGCACCTTCCTGAACTTCCCCATCCTCCTCCTGCTTTTGCACCATAAATAAAGAGAGCAAAAGAGTACCTGGACGTGTGCTTTGTTCTAAAAGGGAAGGGTTGGTAGCAGGAGACGTGTTAAGGGAACAGTGAGGATGGGGAGGGAAGGACAGGGCACACACAGGGGGTTGGGGGTGGGCAAGGACAAGGCGTGGAGGGGCAGGGCTCCTGAAGCAGCAGTAGGCTTCCTTCTTCTCCTAAAGAAAGGGAAGCCACTCTACTCTCAGCCTCTCGGGCTCATTCCAAGGGGAGTTACAGCTGGGAAAGAGACTCACATGGGGGCTCATGGGAGAGGACGGAGGGTGACCAGAAATCCCAGGCTTCCTCTGACCACATGAGAGGTGAGGAGTGGCCAGGCTGTGCCTTACACCCACACTAAGGGCATTCCACCAGCTCTGCCTTGGAACCATTCCCACAGTTGCCCCCAGTGAAGGAGGCCTGGACCCCTGACCTAAAAACAGCTATCCTGAGGGTACAGTGGTCTGGGGGTAGAAAGGAGGTCCTGGGGGGCGGAGGTGAAGTAGGGGAAGAAGGCTTCCCTCTCTCAGAAATCTGCACCACCAACACAGGAAGTCTGCAAAAAATTCCAGGGGTGCAAGACTAAGGATGCCTCCAAGTGTGAACTTAAGGATAGCAGGGAGATGCAATAAACAGGGTCCGCACATTCCACAGCTACTAGCTCTGCCTTTACATCCTGCCAGGAAATCTGACCTGGACTTAACACCAGCAGACCCTCCCCTGTCCTGAAAATGGATCAGGGGCCTGAAAACACACTGGAACAACCCAGTGTGATCGCCCCTGTAGCCAGTAACTGAGCTCGGGGCCCTGAGAAATACCCCCAAAGCCCAAGACCCACTCCTCCACAGCTGCCCTCTCCAGCCCACAGTGGTTGTGTTGTGCCCTTGTGCGTCCTAAGGAGCACGTGCCTACTGCCTAGCCCCCCTCAAAAAGGAATCTACCCCTGACCGCATCACCAGGAGATCATGGGTAGGATCCCAGGTTCAAGGTCAGGGGCTCAGCCTCAGCTTAGCACTCGTGCCTACTCTTCAGGAAGTTGCCAATGCCACCCCACCCGGGTCCCCAGGACCGTGTAAACAGGACAAAATATGATCCCACCTTCAGTTTCCCTGACTATCATGCAGAGCTGTGGGGGGAGGGGCGCTTCTGTAAGATTTCAAAGGGGACACACATAAAGTCTGGAGGGCAACAAACAGCAAGTCCCTACCCTCCATTTTATCTAGAGACTTTCCGGTGTCAACTGTTCAGAAAATCATGGTACAGAAAGAGCTGCAGACAGCGTAGTCACAGATAGGCCTGGGGAAGCTCCTTCATGGCTTTGGGCCCTCCTACCCACATAACCTAAGGTCTAAGAATCCAACGCACGACCTCACATACAGCTGAAATCACAACAGCCCCGAAAGACAGAGGCTGTTGTCTATCTGCAACAGCTCCAAATGACACAGTATAGCTCAGGGTCAGAGACTGAGCTGCCACAAGCCCAGAATTACCTTAGAAAGCTGCTTACAGAAGTGTCTGGCTCTAAGTGACTTCCCACTGGCCTGCCGTTCTATTCCCTAAGTGGGGGGGAGAGCTGGGGGGGAACCTATGAGGAGTGGTCAGTTTCAAGATGAGGCCATCATCAGGGCCTTTGGATCCTAAAGTACTCCCTGCCCCACATGAAACTCTGCTTGGAATTCCCAAGAAGTGTCTGTGACCTTGAGGGGGGGACTGGGGTCCTACTGGGGGGACAAACACACCATTCCTGTACCACAGCTTAATTTTCCTGGGGACCCCAAACACAAAGCTGAACCTCAAAAACAAAATCGTGTCCCTGCTTGGTGATGACCTCTCTGGGTGCTGTGCTTATGCAGGTAACGGTTATGTCCCTGCTGTCAGGGGACACAGGCCTTTCATACGGAGTGGGAACAGAGGTGAAGAGGAAAACTTAGCTAACGGTGGGCCAGAAGCCAGCCAAGAGGCTGGCAACGATGTGGATCACTGGGTGGGCGCATTTACCCACAGCCCACGCGTCCACAGACTATGAAGAACCAGTAAAGGCCCACTGGCCTGCCAATCTACCCAGCGGGGGCTTTGTCCCCATTTACAGGAGAAGAAGGCAGCCTGGGCTGTAAAGAAAGCCAGTGCCACTAACACAGTAGGTTATCAGGTTATCCGCGGAGCCACTTAGGAAGGAATGAAAAGCACAACACAAACCTTTTTTTTTTCCTCCTGGGGAAGAGAAAAGCAAAGAAAGAAATTGGTGTGAAAGTTCCTGCTAGGTGATGATGACATCCCCCCCCCCCCCACACACACACACACTTTAAAGGTAAAAACCAGAGACCAGACCCTGACTCCACCCACTGAGGAAGTGCCCCCACTTCCGAGCTTCAGTCCCCATCCAGAGAGCTCTGAGTGCATCCGGGAACAAAGACGAACAAGGCCCTCCCTTGGCCACCCTGCTTGTCCCCTCCCTTGCCTCCGTCCTCCCCTTATAAGTTGCCCTTGCAGGCTCCAGGCCAGACATATCAGTTCCAGAGCTGGTGACAGCACACGCTCCAGCTACTCACTGGCAGGACTGGATTTGCCACTCTCTCTTACAGATGAGCATGGGTCACGGTCACGTTAGGGGTCCCCAGGCGGGACCCTGAGCCAAGAGTTTTACCAGCTCCTAACCAGGCTGGAGCAGAAGAAAAAGACCCCTGCGTGCCTAGGGAACCTGGAGTGGCCCCATGGTAAGAAACGGAAAGGGGACAGGCAAGCTGTCACCCTATCCCTAACTGCCCCTACCCACCTTGAGCCCTGCTGCTGGACACAGGGGGCCACTTGTTATGATCTATGACAATCAGACATGATTTGAGACCTGAAGAGCGAGCCTCATCTGGACTTCCAGGCACCTGTGTGAGCTCGGAGACCTTGAAAGATGCAAGGTGCACAGGTAGGAGGAAGGGGGTGCGGGGGTAGGGGGTGGGGGGAGGGTGAGGAAGGGGACAGAGAAGGGAATGGGGTGGTGGAAAGGGAAGGGTGGGGGCTGGGCCCTCCCTGTCCTGCTTGAGTCCCCCCCATCCAGGGAACTCCTGTGTGCCTGGGCTGGCTGCCACAGCTGGTTAGTGAGGTTAATAATGGGGGGATGGAGATGGGCCCCCTCCCTGTGCATGCAGTGACCTGAGCTATTGGGGTACAGATGCCCACATTCTACGCTAGCTGCTCGTCGAGCTCTTGAAGTGTCTATGGGCACCCAGCCTGGGCAGGGGTATCACAAGGTGACTCTGACAGCTGAGGGAATCCACGGTCTGAAGTGAATGAGATGAGACGTCTCCACAAGGGCTCAAGGAGAGAGTAAGAGGCCGCCTGTAAGGGACCTCAGCCTCCTGGTCATAATAAATTAATCCTGGATAGAGGCAGAGGCCCCTCAAGGAGACCCTGTTCTGGGAGCACTGGTAAGGCTCAGCCCTGCTCTGTTCCAGCCCTGCCCCCTGTCCTGCAAACAAAGACACCATCTCTCTGGGATCCACCCCTTTGTCCTGTGAGCTGGGTCCCCTCAGAGGGCGCCCAGGAGAGAAAATCTCCTGGGATCCCAGTGGGAGAAGCCCCAGGGTAGGCCCAGGATCGACCTCTGACCTGTCTACCCTTGGCCACAGAGTCAGGGGGTGACCCTTGGCCCAGCCCCAGGGAATATCCCACCAGGGACATAGCTCCCCCTCCAAGGAAGGACCTCGGAGATGGCCCAGCCCCAGGCATTCCCCTCTAGGAAATGGAGAGCTGTGGGGAGAGGAGAGAAAGCATGCCAGGAAATAGCAAGCTAGAAGACACATCCCTTTGGAGCCCAAGGTGCAGAGGAGGGTCTGGAGCCTACACGCGGTTGAAGGGGGTGAAGAAAGGCATCATATAGGAGCTGAATGGCTGTGCAATCAACTCCTGCATGACGCCGTTCCCACCCCCCAACTTCTGACTACGATGCTGCGATGAGACCCTCCTCCTGCAAAGAAGCAATGCAGTAAGCCCGAACGACGACAGGTAGGACATACACCCGCTGTTAGTAGATAAGAGAGGGGA